TTTTAAGAAAGATGCCTTGCTTAGTCAAATTGGTTCAAACCATGGAGGTGGCCATTTTGGTTCAAAAACATCTCATTCATCCTACAATCATGTGCAAATACCAAATCCAAAGAACTCATTACCAAATTGCTTTCTTATCTCTCTTCTAGTACCTTATGGTGCATAGTTGGTAAAAAGCAATCACAAGAACTCTAAAGTTATTTGCTTATGATTACATGTAAACCATTAGGTTGTTCAGTATTTCGTAACGAAATCTGCAAAAAGTTCATTTTTTAAGAAAGATGCTTTGCTTAGTCAAATTGGTTCAAACCATGGATGTGGCCATTTTGGTTCAAAAACATCTAATTCATCCTACAATCATGTGTAAATACCAAATCCAAAAAACTCATTATCAAATTGCTTTCTTATCTCTCTTCTAGTACCTTATGGTGCATGGTTGGTAAAAAGCAATCACAAGAACTCTAAAGTTATTTGCTTATGATTACATGTAAACCATTAGGTTGTTCAGTATTTCGTAACGAAATCTGCAAAAAGTTCATTTTTTAAGACAGATGTCTTGCTTAGTCAAATTGGTTCAAACCATGGAGGTGGCCATTTTGGTTCAAAAACATCTAATTCATCCTACAATCATGTGCAAATACCAAATCCAAAGAACTCATTATCAAATTGCTTTCTTATCTCTCTTCTAGTACCTTATGGTGCATGGTTGGTAAAAAGCAATCACAAGAACTCTAACGTTATTTGCTTATGATTACATGTAAACCATTAGGTTGTTTAGTATTTCGTAACGAAATCTGCAAAAAGTTCATTTTTTAAGAAAGATGCCTTGCTTAGTCAAATTGGTTCAAACCATGGAGGTGGCCATTTTGGTTCAAAAACATCTAATTCATCCTACAATCATGTGTAAATACCAAATCAAAAAAACTCATTATCAAATTGCTTTCTTATCTCTCTTCTAGTACCTTATGGTGCATGGTTGGTAAAAAGCAATCACAAGAACTCTCTAAAGTTATTTGCTTATGATTACATGTAAACCATTAGGTTGTTCATTTTTTAAGACAGATGCCTTGGTTAGTCAAATTGGTTCAAATCATGGAGGTGACAATTTCGGTTCAAAAATATCGAACTTATCCGGCAATCATGTGTAAACACCAAACCCAAAGAAATCAGGATAAAACCAAAGCGGTGACAAACCGTACCGCGTTAGGACCCAACTTGGACAAAACGTACCGCGTTTCGCCGTGGTCCAATCAGAACGGCCAATTTTTGGCGTATGGTTAATACGTGGTACGTTCTGCCTAAATGCGTACGGTACCTAATTGGTAAAATCAATCATAAACAATTTACCAAATTCTCTTTTTAGACAGCGCTGTAATATCTTTGGTTCTTTTCCCGATGAGCTTGGTATAGAAATAACGATTTTGACATCTTTTGATTAAAATGCAAGTGGTCATCGAAAGTGTACCAAATTCCCTTATTGGGCACCGTGGTAGGTGTGTTCCTAGCTTATAGTTACGATACCCTTAGAAGCCATTATGACCCTCTTATTAATTTTTTAATTTAATGTGCTTACTAAAATATACTAAACGTTATTTTACATTTCTCCTCAATCCACCAGTTTAATCTCTTCAATACAAATCCGCCCTTGTAACGTAACGTGGATTAGGAATAATACATACGAGGTAGCAAATAACAAATTATTTGCGTTAAAGCGCGCATAGTACAGCTACCTCTTTCATTATTTGCTATCGCACTTTAAAGCGAGAGTACCGCTTTACAATGTTGCCGTTTATTTTGATCTCACTTTATTTAAAATATAACGTATTATATATAATGTAAGCAGCGCCCCCTAAGATGATCACTCAAGAACTTCGCGTGTATAAATTTTGACAAAAACCTAAAAGTTGAGATCCGGGCGAAAATTGAAATTTAGCTTCCTGTATGCTCGACCGAGCTAATAGACTCGATATACACAGTAAAAAAGGCGAGATCCGAAAACGGATCTCGGGTTTACCAAATGGATCTCACCTTATCTGCAATATATGTAAAAATGATCTCACCTTAGCGCTTTTTAAATCTATATATATATATATATATATATATATAATATATATATTAATATATATACAGTGAATTTTTTTAAAATGCGAACATAGGAGTTTGCATGCAATGTAA